TTTAACTTCCGTGAAGCGATCTGAACACAAGTAAGATATCGTTTCAGGCTTCCACAACGCTCGCTTCGCACTCACAAACATAACCCATTTACCACGAACTGCGGGGGTCCTGTGGAAATCTGTGCATGGTGACACCATCACCCGACCCCTAGGATCAATTGACGACAAAGCAACGATTCGGCATGTCGTCGTTCATGTCGAGAAATCATCAAAATGATGAGCGTGCTACACACTTTCTGTACAACTAACTGAAAATCGTTCCTCATATGACGTCACTGCAGTGCTCTGGCGACAGAGTTACGTAACCTGTCTGTGGTTTCGTTGGCGGGCGAGAGGGAAGCAGGCGACTTTTTGGCCACTTTTAATCGCTCGGTATTAATTAACCACAAGTTTTTAAAGAATAAATTTGGTGTTCCGCATAAGACTAACCACAAATCTTTCATATGTAATGGTTAAAAAAGTAACAAAAAACAAAGTTTAGTGGTTCTTTAACAACTTTGAGCGCTTGGGTAGCTCTAGTGCCGGTTGACCGATTTCTTGTATTAGAGCGGGAAACCACGTTCTGGCCGGCCAGTAGGGCGCGACCAAAATGAGTTGTAGGCTCTGTGTTTGGCTGATTTTCTGTAATACTTGAGGTATTATTGCTGGGGGCGGAAACGCGTACGCATTGAGGCCTTCCCATGATATGCTTAGAACGTCCGTTGCCCATGCTTGTGGGTCTGGAACTGGTGACACGAATGTCGGTAGTTGATTGTTGAATCTTGTGGCGAATAGATCTACTAGCGGGCTCCTATTTGCTTGATTATCTGTGCAAATATCTCTGTATTGAGCATCCATTCTGTCGGCGACGGTAGATGTGGCCGAGAGTGCGTCTGCTAGTATATTCCTGGCTCCGGGAATGTGGCATGCTTTGACATGTAGATTTAGATCTTGGATTAATTCGAACAGTTGAAAGGTTAAAGTCAAAAGGTTCGGCGATCTCGTTGAGCCTTGCCTGTTCACATAGAACGCCACTGTCGAGTTGTCGGTATGTATCATCAGGTGCGCATTCTGTAGAATGTTGCTCCAATGTCTTATGGCGTTGATTACAGCTTTCATCTCTAATGAGTTTATGTGGAGCTTGCTTTCTAGCTGATTCCATAACCCTGATGCTGTCTGGTTGGTGAGATGAGCTCCCCAACCTTGGAGCGACGCGTCTACATATAGATGGGTTTTGAATTCCTGCTCTGCTAAACAGATCCCTTCGCAGACATTCGATTTCTTGGTCCACCATAGTAGATGAGGTCTGAGATGTTTGTTGATGAAGACCTGTAAGGGACGTAACTGTAATCTGCCTATGACTGTCAAGTCTTGGGCTGATGTTAGAAGACCTAGTAAACTCTGCCATTGTCGAAGTGGTAGCGGAGAGAGTAGGGCTGGAGGAATGATCTGTTGGATCTTGAGCCAACGGTCTTCTGGTAAGACTATACGGTTGAGATTGGTGATAAATCGAATGCCTAGGAATTGCAGATCTTGCGATGGTACTAGGTCCGACTTGTGTAAGTTTACTAACCATCCCAGCTGTGTTAGTAGCTTTATGATGTAGTTTAACTGTAGTTTGAGATGCTGTGGATCTTGATCTACTTGTATCCCGTCGTCGAGGAAGAACGCACTGCGTAGCCCTTTGACGATGTAGATAGTGACAATCGGTTTCGTTATCCCTCGTGAATAACCATGGGGCTGATGTTATTCGAATGGGAGTACTTTCCACTGGTAATGTAACCGTCTAGAGTAAACCGTAGGTATTTCCTGGATTAGGGATGTATAGGGATGTGCAGATAGGCATCTTGTAGATCTATACTGCCCATGTAGTCCATGGGGCGAATCATGTGCCGTAACTGCGGTAGATGTATCATGTGGAACTTCGGTGGTCTGTAGAGATAAGTCTTGTTGAAGAAGCTCATGTTGTAAATGAGTCTGTATTTCTCCTTGGAGTTTTTCTTGGGTACTAGGAAAACTGGGGAGTAGAAACCTGGTTCGATGTTTCCTTGATCTATTACTTCTATGGCCTGCTTGGTTAGGAGTAATGTAACAGCCTCTCTTAACTTTAGTAGTTGCTGTGCCTGTACCTCTAACTTGGGAGGGTTGACTGTTAATGGAGGCTTGGCCTGTAGTGGGATACTTAAACCGGCGTTGAAGAATGTTGGAGACATAGGTGTCTTGAAGTATTCCCCCAGTTTTCCCAGTGTAGTTGGAGACGTCCACCCACTTGTGGACGGTTGTACTGGAACAGCTGGGGTGGAAGACTCCAGTGGTTCGAACCTGTCTTTCAGCGCTTATAGTTAGCGGGAACCTCTGGGTGTCCTGCCTCTTCCTGACCCTCCTCTATAGTTGCCATATGGAAGTTACCTTAAAAGAATCTCTTCCCCTGGAACTGGCTATCTTCCTGTCTCTTGCTCTTTGTAGGCCCGTGAATTTAGATCTCCCTGAGTATCTTTGTGAAGTCTGTCGAATGACACTGGCTAGCTGATGTCCATCGATTTAATCATCAGGACTTCTCTGGAATCCTTGGTGACTTCCTTGGAGACTTTGTCTATTCCTCCGGCCAAAGATGGATGGGGAAGACCACGGGTTGTATATAGTGGAGCTGTAAAGTTCTCACCCGGTTGCAGGAAGCGAGGAGGCCTTGGACGAGCTAAGGTCAATGCTGCTGAGACAGACGTGAGATGATCTGTTAAGAACTGCTGGTCCTTCTTTTGCATCAGTTGGGCCGAGTAAATCATTCTATCATCTTCAGAGGTCGAGGTTAATGTAAATCTGGTGATAAGTGTCTCATTTATTGTTCTAGATCTATTTAGACCAAAGAACATATCGCCTCGTCATGGTTTCGATCTGAACCAATTTTCGATCATCAATCTTGTAGTACTTGTTCTTGGCATCGGAGATCAGCTTGTAGTTCTCATCGATGTCTTGCGCCTTGAAGAAGGGGTCCATATTATGCGTGGAGAACTTCTTGGCGTGAAAGTTTGGCAGATGTGGTGTTTGAACCTTCGTGGCTTTGTTGAATGCTGTATCTAGGTTTTGTGGTACGCCCGCAATCGGGTCGATTGGGGTAGTGTAATAGCATCTGCATCGCCTTCTTTCATCAGATAAGTCTGCTCGAATTGCCACTCTTGGAAGGTGATGAGAGATCTAGATTATTGACCATCCAATATCTTATCTCTGCATCTGAGAAAATAATTCCTCCATCATCTTCCATTCCATCATCATAAATGAGAGGTTGTTGCTCTTCTGATGTAGGACTGTGTGGCTCTATCTCTATATCGTTTGACGCTTGTGGAGATCTAGTTGTAGGCTTATGTGCAGACCTGTGAGGTGATCGGACGCGTGGTGATATGCGTGGAGATCGGGCGTGGTGATCGGGCGAGGGCGATCGTCTTGGTGATCTACATCGATAGGTTGATCTTCTTGGCGACCTATGAGGGGACCGTTGGTAGCTTCGCTGGAAGCTCTTGTGTAGTCCCTCGATGTCCTTTTTTAGATGATGATGGCGATCTGGGTTCAGGTGTCCTTCGCAACGCTTTCAAGCTTCTCTCTGCGTCCGGTCCTGGGGAACGGTGATATGACCTCGCGAAGGCTTCCGCGGAGGTCTGATGATCAGATTCCAGATCTGAGTATGACGCCGAAGAGGGTGATGATCTTTCCGCCGAAGGCTGTACATCTGGGTCCTTCGTGGAGGTGGTCTGTGACTTCCTTCACGAAGGCTGCATCGTCGTGGCTGGCACGTTGACTGGGGGTGCCTCTGGGTGTGTTCACGTTGGAGCCTTCGCCGGCTCGCTCGACCCTGGGATGGCTGCTTCTCCAGTCTGTAGTGGCCTTCCATCATGATCATGATCTGCTTCATTAGATCGCCTGGGATGATCTGCGGCGTAGTAGATGGTGCTCCTCTAAGCGCTGATAGCGGTGGGGCCCTCCAGCGATCTCGCCTGACATCAGTGTAGAGGCATCAGGCTGCATGGTGATCTCTGCTGAAGTCACTGTCGCTGTCACTGGTCAGCTTCTTGTGGCGTATGTCGGGTATGATGATTGGTTCATCATCGTGAGAGGCCCAATTCTGCTGCTGGAACGATCTCTGCTGAGAAAGTTCTCGATGACTTCAGTAGATTTCCCTTTGGAGGATGACGCTTTGCCCTGGGGGTACGAAGTTCTGCGTTGAGAAGACGTTGAGGCCCTCTTGGACTTTATCTGCGATGACGGGATGTCTGGGAGGCCGGCTTCTTAGAGGTGACGGACTGCATCCCACGTCCCTCTTCCGATGGGGTCTCAAGCAGAACACCAGGCGGGAGGGGATCGCTCGACAGCAGCTGACTGGATGGGAAATCCGATGTATCGGCCATGTCTACACCTAGTTTGCGTGACCTATCTGCAACACGTCTCAAGACGCAAAGATGGTATTTATTAAAGGCAGAATTGGTTAAATTAATGCAGTAACTGCAACGTGAATCAAACGCACAAGGCGTAGTACAACTAGGGCATACTACATGCGGATCCGCAGCGGAAATACGTAATCTACAAATAGTACAGTTTTTCATCAACATAATACTAGCTGAACAATCACGAACTCACGTGAATAAACAGTAGAAATACTATCCAAAGGATATAGTGTGTAAGGAGACACAGGCGCTCTCACATCCTGCTCACTGGGCGAAGAAGGAGAGAGTGAAGCATGAGGCCAGAGGGTGGCGACACCTGTTCCCGCGCTTGCGGCAGGGGAGGCAACTCTTGGGTGAGTACCAATTAGTGATTTTACATTGAAGGGAGCTTCAATTAAGGAGATACAAGTGTTCCACTATGTTCGCAAGAGGAAGGGGACAAGCAAAAGAGCATGAGTCAGGATAAGGAAAAATATACCATTTTATGCTTACATCTACTTGATTTCTTAAACCACTGGGGGTTTTCAATTACCCATATCCACTGCCAATATCAGTTTTTTGTTGTATGGAATTGGGCTCTGACATTACCTTGTTGCAGACTTTTTATGTTGAGCTTCCCTGTCTTCTGCTGCCTCTTTTTCATCCACGGCATTACGATTTTCCTCTGCAGCTTTCTTATGTTTCTCACCGCTCAGATGTTTCCGATATTCAGCAATACTTGCGCAAGTTGTGAAGCAGAGTGTGCAGTTGTGCTGACTGTTCCTGAAAGATCCATAGTGGTGTAATGAACATACACAAAAGCATGTCCATCCACAAGATAACTTGACTTAACAAAAAAGTTGTCTGGGTGGTTTTAATAATGAATTTCGATAATTCACTACTGTCAGTTGAAACATGGTTAGATACTGGAAAAAAGCAGATTGATTTGTGGATTACGAACAAAAAAGGACAATACAAGGACTAAGTTAATTGATCTAAATATATGACAAGGTCTCTGAACTTAATCCAGTTTATCACTTGCCTTCAATTGTTCACTACTGCTTTGAACAGTCGCACATGGCTGCGGAACTTTTGATACGCTGACTGGTGACACATGAACAGCTCAGAGATCAACAGATTGTTTTAATCAAATGGAACCCAAAAGCGAGTTTGCTTTATCTGTCAGCTCATTGTAAGCATGTGTCCATCAGATCTATATGATTAAATACACAGCAAAAGGAGGAGGGGAACAATTATTTTTTTCATAGGCATCAGTTCATATCCATCATAAGCACGTTTATTACAAACATAGTTTACTGTATATTTAAAACAACTTACTTTTTCTTGGATTCTATGTTTGTGTGATGCATTAGTGACCAAAAGTGTTCTCGCAAATCCTGAAAGAAGAAAATGAGGAAAAATCAAATAGATGTTGTCATAAATAGATACGATTACTAACATTTCAATTATTAATTGATATCAACATGATACACAACTTTTCAAGTTTACTGGATTGGTTGTTTTGGTGAAAGTCAGAATAATGAATTGTTCCAAACCACTCCTGAGCAGAATTGATAAACTGGGAGTTAGTGCTTCATAAATGTATTAATATATTAAAATGCACCTCTCACTGACATTTAAAACTACTGTTCAGTACAATATATTACATATAACCTGAACTGCCCAATGTTAACTGTTCCCTGTGGTATGCAGCACTGGTTGTGACAAGAAAAGCGCACCCATAAAAATCTATACCACATAAAGCATGTATGTACAGAAACTCTCCACAACTGCAGTTTCTAGGGCTGCACGGTATTACGGGTATACCGCAATACGAAATTGTAACAATTACGTATCGCGATACGTTTATGACGTACCGGTATACCGCCAAAGATTTATTTGTTCAATTTTAACCCATTCAACATCACACATAAGACTTCTGCCCGTATACCCCCTAAATTTTAATGGTGAGGAAAAAGAAATATATGTATATTCAGGTAACATGGATGGTGGTGGTGGTGGGTGGGGATTGGGCTGAAGTCTTTCCAAATGACTAGCAACGGGTCCACTTAAGAATTGTCAAAGAGCAAAGTATGGACGTTTTGAGGAAATCATTAAAATTGAATAAAGTAATGAATAAAATCAACAGTTTTCATAAAAGTTGTCAAACGTACATCTAAGTTACTATTTCCATCTTTTCGTGTGATCATGTTATGTTAGTCAAGTGACATCTCGGCTTTCGTCACCTCGATCTTCATGCTCGAAAACGGAGGCATTTCCAAATGTTGTGTCATGTTACCGGGTGAAAAGCCATGGTTATCGGGAAATAGGCGACCACATATATTATTTAATTAATCTTTATATAATAATTTTCTGATTACATAAAAATTAAAATATAAAACAAATAGGTAAGATGATATTATGGCATCTTACAAATGGATTACAATAGCTGGAGTTTACGTCTCCTTCGTGGTTTATATGGACATTTTAAGTGTGTAAATTTGTATTACTATTAGAAATGAATGTAGTTTAGTTGAAGTTGTATTATTTGAGTTATATGATAAACATACCTTTGGTATTTATCAACAGTTGGATTAGACCTAAAATATTTAAATGGTGTATGACATAGCAATAATACTTCACGAGCTGATATTTTCCTTGATAAACGTAGGCTTCTATCTTATTGTAAGGTCATGTTTCTCATGTTTCATTGGGTTTTTTTCATTATTCTATTCAGTCTAAAGAAAGTGTACTTTACCTGATACATAGTGACTTTTGCCCATCGTGAGTGTTTTGTTAAATCATTTCTTTATGTGAATGTGTACCAAATGTCATTCATGAAATAGGAAATGTTAATAATACTTTTGTTCAAAGACAAAGGTGCATAAATCATCGTTTTGATTAGAATGTAAACTTCAAGATCATGTCACATGATTGTGACAATTACATTTTTCTTGAGTAATACAGATGTGTACAGTAAATTCTTTAACTATTTAAATTATTTGAAAATCAACATCCTTTGCTGTTTAAAGAAGTTAAAGTATATACTGGTAAATAAGTACTAGTAAATAGTATGGGTGGGTCGATGGAGGACAGTGTAAGCTAGTTTCAGTTTCAGTTGTGATTCAATTTGAAGGTAAAAGAAAATTACCTAGTGGACAGATCTCAATAATTGTTCTTTCACAATATATTGCAAAACATATCGCAATACAGAAGAGTGTATCGCAATATATCGCAATACGAACTTTGGGGCAATACACAGCCCTAAAAGTGAAGCATACCTAACTTCTCAACACAACACTTTCCCTAACATCTTCTCATACTAGTATTCAGCATTCTGAAGATCTTACTTCTTACTTTTACACATGAAAAATATCTTAAAATTACTTTGACTTAACATTCCCCCCTCCATCCCATTTGAAATATTTAAGTTAGAAAGAGATTTATGTGAACATTTTCTAAATCTGAATTACAGTTTTGTGGGAAATACATGGTCTAGTCACAATTTAGTGGTTAGTGGATGGTTGGGAGAGTTCTTCAGCATATGAGTCATGATAAGTATAAAATTGAAAATTTTAACGATAAATTGTATATCTATAAATATGTATCCTATCTCACATACTGTACTCTCTCTGTCTCTTATGTCGACCATGAAGTGGAAATATGCTACTAAGAAAGTTGGACAAAGTTTCTGGCTCTCCCTGAGTCCCTCGCCCAGTTCAGTGCCTTGCAAAAAGTATGCAGCATGACCTCCTCCAGTTGACCATGTGACTTCCCTGTCTTGTCATTCTTGTCTTGGAGAAACGTTACAGTAGATATCTGCAAAGTGGGGATGGTTGGGCGGGCATCAATCGCGTGAGATAGGATAAGTATTTATAAATATACAATTTATAGTTAAAATTTTCATTTTTTTAATAGAAATATTCCTATCTCATGTATGGTACTTATCCAACGGTTGGACGGTGGGTCCCAGATTCCCCGAAGTATATAACAACCGTGATGAAGCGATGATGCACAAGGAGGCCTTTACGAGTGCTATCTCCTGATAGGCCACTGAACTTGGACATGTGCTGGGTTGCTTCCTCCAAACCTCTTAGCTAACAAAACACAAAAACTCTCAGGGAGCGGGCATTCCCGAGTTAGTGTAGTTTTGAGCCACAACCCCTGTACATGACAAATGGACAGAGACTCGGCAAGTATACCTCGCGTCACTCTGATTTACCAGAAAGGCCCTGATTGGTGAAAGTTCGTGGAACTTTGACCCAGACAGCCTCTGCTTTGAACCACTCCCCAGTCTCCAACTGGGAAAAAAAGTGGCCCAGTACGCTCAACAAGTTTAACGTTCAGTTCTGGCTAACATTGAGTAGCCTTAGGTCCTCTGTGTGGGCATACTCCAAATGTCTCCATGAACTTCGGAGCACTTTGAAAACCCGTAGGAATTCGGTATTCACACTTCATGGACATAATTGCTCAACGAGTAGAGGTGAGTAAGCATGAGTGTGGAGAACCTCGGTGTTGGAGTACAAGACTGGTTCACAGTCTATGACGAAACCAAGAGAATGACTGTACTCCAACACTCTGGTCGGCAAACAGAAGGGTTTCTCAAAATAAACATGAATAACGCTGCATACATCTTGGATTTATATGGTTACAGGGTAGATGATTGTGAACGGAACAAATACCTGTTATCTGCATTGACGGAACGTTAATAACTGCTGTGCCAGTACTAGAGAGCCAAACTGGTGCAGTCCCTACACATCAGTGACGGACAAGTCACGTAGGTAGTGGGATGCAAACACTGTCTCTGACCTCCAGAAGAAGCCTTCCACAATCGATGGTAGAGAGCAAATACTGTGAAGAGCCATGATGGATGCCAATCCTCTTGTCTCATGAGGCTTTGATGCTGCTGGAGGAGGGAGATCAGCGAACTTGTAGGCTTGGAGGATGGTGGACCTCATCCAGAAAGCCAGTGTAGTGCGTCATACTTCCTCTGATGATGATGGGGACAGCGGGATGAAGAGTCGCTTTTGCAGTTGACAATGTTGTTGTGAAGCCTTGATGTAGATTCTCAAAGCCCTAACAGGTCAGAGTGTAAGGTCTTCGATGCCGTCAGGTCCGAGGATAGTGGACTACGGTGGTAAGGTGAATAGCCACAACCTTTGTACAAGACAAAGGGAAAGAGACTCGGCAAGTATACCTCGCGTCACTCCGATTTACCAGAATAGCCCTGATTGGTGAAAGTTCGTGGAACTTTGACCCAGACAGCCTCTGCTTCGAAACCACTCCCCACAGTCTGGCAGTTGGTTCTCAGCCACGAAGTCCCATCGAAGGCCTAAAAACACTCTGCTATGTTTCTTCTTCTCAAAATGCACCCGGTTAATGTCCAGTGGATGGAGCTCCAAGATGTGTGCTGCCGTAAGGTTTTACATGAGATGCACTCAAAACTCTTTCGCAGCTAACGGCTCATAGTCATCTGAGATGAGATGATGAAGCATGATCGATAAATCCCAAGCTCGAGGCCAAATATCTTTGTCTGATCGGCCAACTTGTAGGAGCGCAGAAGAGATTGAAGTTCAGGCACTGTGGAAATCTTGATGCCAGTAGAGGTCACTGCATTGAGAGCTGTTAAATACGTGGCAAGAGTAGACCCCTTGAGATTTCTGGAAGAACGCAGATGCTGAAAGTAGTTGGTAACAGCCAAGCAACAAGACCGCACCTCAGTGTGACAAGAAAGAGAATGACAAGACAGGGAAGTCACATGGTCAACCGGAGGTCATGCTGCATACTTTTAGCAAGGCACTGAACTGTCGGAGAACGAGAGCGGGGGGGAGCATTCGGGCGAGTGACTCAGGGAGGCCAGAAACTTTGTTCAACTTCCTTAGCAGCATGTTTCCACGAGATAAGATAAGTTTTGAAAATTAACATTTTTTTCTCAAAAAATACATATCATTCCTTATCTTGATCACATATTATTTATTTGAATCCATCAGTTAGTGGTGGGTAGCCAAAATTTGAATTCATGTTGTATTCATATAACCTCAGGGGAACTTCCAATTTTTCATTAATTAACCACCAAATTGAAAAAAAAGACAAGTAGATGAGATGGAGTAAAGGTAAAACTGGAAAATACAAACCTTAAATTTGGAAAAAAATTCAGAATTTAGTTTGGTTGGCTTGGATTATATAAAAAAAAACCCATTTCCCCTTGTCATCCCGTTGGGCGAAAATGGAGAGAGTGACTAGCCACCAGCTTGGTCATGTGCAGGAAGAGAGTGCATTTGGGGAATACAAAAGTTTATATCACATCTGCTGGAAAATGAGAGAAAAGCAATTATCAATTACAAAAAAATACCATCCACACAAGCAAAAATGACAAATGAGAACTGCATATGAATCACTTGATATACAATGTACATCTAGTCTGCAATCTTTCACGTACTCTTTCAGATGCATAGGACAGAGTGCACAAATTACATTTGTGCATGTTCTTGTCTTTAACCACGGTCTTCTGAGCCTCTGTATCAGACATCATGCCCTGCAACAAAGTAATGTTCTGTGTTAATATATACAATGTATAATGTGTATGATATACAAACTCAGAAAACACTCAGAATCCAAACTTCGCCTTTAACAAACTGCCACCTTCTTTGTTACTATAGTCTGTTTGGTTCAAAAGCAGACCGATGAATTGCAATCTAAAACTAATAAACATATAATACTCAATGAAAGGCTGGACATAATCAAAACATCAGACCAACTCTGTGATTTTTTTGTGCAGAATTTATGTCCTAATAATTAAAAAGTTCTCCAACAAACTATCATTAAATTACTGACACAGTTCACTATTTGTTATGAGGGAGGAGTGCAAAGAGAGGAACAGCCAGGTGTGCGACAAAGGATGGAGACGGCACAGCACAGATAAATGACTCAATAACTTTGTCGGCACTTGTGCACGTGCCTTTATGCGTACACCTGGCTGTGCCTTTCTTTGCACTCCTCCCTCGTGAATAAAAATAGTGAACTGTGTCAGTAATTTAAAGGTCACATGCAACGTAAAAACACAACTTTGCAGATTCTGATACCTTCGGTATGGACTTACTGGAAACAAAGCGCCAAATATGCAAATTCAACTTATAAAATTAAAAAATAACGCGATGAAAAAAACCGCGCGAATCGGAGTTCAAACTTTTCACTAATTTTCCCGACTTTTCTGGGGAAAACGGGTTTCAACAGCTGGCTGGCGCTCATAGCACGCGGGTGCAGTGAAATAGGTTCGCGCGAGCTTGGAAGCCGGGTTGTCGGGTGAATACTCGGTGAAGGCTTTTTCTAATGTTTTGTTGATATCTCACAGGCAAGTGCTTTTTATATGATATGACAGTAAATTAACTGTTTATATAATTTCATTTGTCTATTTCACCACACGCTCTCTTCTTACCGAGTCACTTTCTCAGTTCGATACTTAAAAGCAATGTTATTATTTAGCTGTACAGAATTTCTAACTGTGATATAGATATGTCGTTGTCACAGACAAAACTCAATGTCTTGTTTTATTGACACCTGTGTGTCTGCCTGCCTGTCTGAATATTCAATACACAGCTGCTATCACTGACCACATGCAATTTGAACTTAACACCAATCAGGCTATACACCATAAACAAAATGCATTGATTTATGGCCCGAAGTTCGGTCTGTCACATTATGTAATTACACAGACAGGCAGGTGTGATACTTGAACAGATGACATGTTATGATGTCTGTTGATTGCAAAATGTTATACACAAAAATGAGCCTGTATTTACAAAACCCAACATCTCTATATATACACACACAATGAGCCGTGAGGGAAACGGCAAATGAACCAGCCGTTACACTTGAGTGCACACCCACCCGCTCTGACTGGGTTCGGGTATCCCGCTGCTTCGTTTCTTGGGAAGTAAACCGCTGGTACACAATTTTGCACTTTTGATTTTGCGATTGTAATGCTTATAATTTTGTTTATATGTTTTTCATTACCAGCAATGTATATTATATGTCATGAATAAGTGATAATTGTGTTTTAATTATGTTTGATTTTTGGTTGCATGTGACCTTTAATGATATGTTTTTAAGGATTTTGGAGCATTTTCTTGAATATCTATTATTCCATCCAAATTCAAGAATAAAAACAACTTGTAATTTGTTTCTGTCCCGCCATGTTTACATACACGGGTGCAATTCTGAACAATCAAATATAACCGAGATGATTTGCTGCGGTACGCGGTTTCCTTAGCAACCGGGATTTCAAACACAGGACAAGGGAAACCCTAATGTGTCGCTATCACGTAAATTCAAATATGGGACACTGCTTGATATCGCATTGATAAGTTTCAGATAAATACGTCTGTAAATGATTCTAAGACTGTACACCATTGTACGTATCTGCTACGATTTCTAAATGATTTCCTATCGTATCGTGCATATTTTTTATCCGTACATAAGCCGATATGGTCCTTATCTGGAGCCCTGTGATAGTGATGGTAGATACTAACAATTTAACATGATTTAACAAATCTAATATACCGTAAAACAACACTTCAAATATTGTAAACATTTCAAATATAAAAAAATGAAAAATAAATACAAAAGCTTTTTAGAAAAAATCAACACAAGTGTCCCACCAAACACATGCTCAATACAAACTGCAGATTCGATCTAAAAGTATTGCATAACCTGACAATGTTGATCCCAGGTATCTGTGACTTACATAAATTCCTAAACACAGCTGGGATTTAAGCATCAAATGACAAATTGTCTTTGTAACTAACAGTAGATGGTTTAAATGAAAAGTTAATTAAAGCAGGTGTGAATCAAATGAGCTTCGAAAACTGTATTTGTTTGAAATGTAATCAAACCAAAATTTAGATTTTATGCTGTGTATCAATTTATCTTATGCTGAGAAATTGTGTATTTGTTGCATTCATTGCCACACATCCTTTAAGAATATGCATGAGACGAGTACAACAAGAAGGGCAAGGCCGAAAAACAGAGAAATGTGCTTGGTTTTTTTATGCATATTAAAACATGGAACATTGGACATAGAAGGGTCCGTTCTTAAAACCATTCTTTTCCATTTTTTTCTGAATAGAAAAGCTGGCTTATTTTTTTTTATTTGTTACAATGAATTGTTGCAGTGGCCATTTATATTTTATAAGATCAAACATTTATTGTGCTGTAGCAAGGGACATGAATGTAGAACATGGTGCTCTAGGTGTTGTCAAATCCTGCAAGAAATAATTTTTGAACGTGACGAAGCACCTAATTTTCAAACCACTCCAACATACTGCATGTTTTTCAGCTGTTTATTTCAGATGAGCTCACACACTTAGATAAACATATGTCATTTAACTGTACTGAGAAAATATCCTAAAACAAAAGCCTTTCCCCTTAACATATTTATCTTCCATGTGTTCTCTGCAGAGAACCACTGATGTGGTCTTTTTCTTGAGTAAAACAGTATTGTCAAGCACCTCACAGTTAATATCATATCAACATAATTATGCAAAACATTATGTAAATCTAACCTAAAGCTTAATTAGGCCCATCTGTTTCTATTGTTTGAAAGCAAAAGAAAAGAGTGGTTGTGTGACAAGCTTACACCTGTGGATCAGTTACCAGGGAGAAAAGTTCTCAGCCTGAATAAGGTGGGTTGAGTCCATTTATGTCAGAGCAATAGTGTTTGTTTACTAACAAGACAAAAATCAGGTCAGGCATGTGATAGGTCTTAAGAAAAATAAGATCGCAGTAGCTTTCAGAGTGGGTATTAAAGATACAAACATCTTTCCCTGAACATCACAGTATTCACATTGAAAGAATGAAGAAGTTGATATCCATTAGTAAAGTCCAGGTCATTGTTGACACTGGTACTTCTAGTTTTGTACCAAGGTACATTTCAGTATACAAGTTAAAATAAGAATACACACCAGTTCCCTCCACATTGTACACTGAACTTAAAGGGAAACAACACTCCAACTTTGAAGATATTCAAATATGTATTTGCTTTTTCTGTGCATATTCAATATTTGACTATCACCTCGATTGGTTTGACTTGTGTTCAGGACTTCTCTTGACGCACTGTATGAAGCATCATCTACGGGTGGATATGAAACTGGTTATCATAACAAAAGCCATAAAATATGGGCTGCAACCAAACTGGCTTGTTACTATTGTTGATTAGTGTAGTCATGCTTACAGTCAACATATTACCCATCTCAACATGCTCAAAAACTACATTGTATCCGGTCGGTAAAGGAAAAGGTGATAACAAACTTGCTTTAAAAAAGAGGAAGTTAGAAATACATTAATAATAGACATGAATATCCTGCTAGGCATTTAAAGATTTTATAAGCAGAAATTATGATTTGCCTGTGTATTTTTTTATAAACTAAGTGGGACATAAATATAACCTACACGAACATTTTGTCCCAATTTACCCATGATTTGATATATGTAAAACAATAATCACCAAAAGTGTAGCACTTTCCTTGAACTGCTTGCTATTGCCAGATATTTTTATGTGTGCAACACATCAACCAGTCACCATTGAGGCCTCCCATTTTCTTTTTCTGTATGTGAATGAAACTGAATTGCAAATGTCACTATTGCAACCTAAAAACGATGTACGTATCCTAATATTCAGCAGTTAGATTGTTTGAGAGATGTATCCATAAATAACAACAAAAAGGTGAGGTGAGGTGAAATTGGGTTTAACTTCGTGCTTGAGAATATTTGGCTCATATGACGACGTGCATGTGTGTGTATGTGTATGTGCGGCTGCTTGTACTAGCCCAGACTGAAGCTGGGTTTATAGTGCTAGCCCACTAAGATACCATGCCGCAGTGAAGCATGAATACCCCACTCAGACACATTATACTGACTCCGAGCCGACCAGTCCTTGTTGTACCCATTCATGCCGAGCGCCAGACAGGAACCAACAAGTACCATATTTTAACGTCTTTTGCACGCTCTGCGGGCAGACCCTCTAACCACTACACCACGGGGTGGTCAACAACAAAAAGGAGTGAGTGAGTTAAAATAATCTAATATTTCCAAATAAACATAGTGTTTCACTATATCATACCTCATCAGCTGATCAAAAAATGCTTTTTTCAGGTGTTTCACAAAGGTGAGCATCTCCATGGTCAGCTGAGATAGCGCATGTGACAAAATTGATATGTTCATCTTGTCCACGGTTGAGTTTGACAACAATCAACATATTATTGGGTATTCCTTTGAACAGAGCATGCAGTTTTTACACAGGCAGTTAATCCTTTGATCAATGTCTTTTTGGGAACAAGTCCAAAGGGCTTAAGGACAAAAGGGCCAAAACTAGATAAGTCAAATGGCCAAGGGAAAGCCAAAAGGGCCCTTCTATCAAAAGGGCCAAACTTTTAGAAAATAGTAAGATTAGAAGAAATTCATTACATGTTGTTGCAGTAACCTCTGGTAATCAATATTCGCACACCTAACACGTTTCGGCACAATATACGGAATTTACAA